ATGTTGGGGCAGGAGCAGCTGGCAGGGGGAAGATGTGCTTAGGTTAATCAGTTGTTGGCACACAGACAATTAGTTACATGCTGGCAATGGACCTGGCAGTGAGCTGAAGGCTCCTGCACGACAGAGCAGAAAGGTGCTGGTCACGGAGCTGGAAGCACATCCCTGTTCTTGAAGGTGAAGCTGAGCTGGAGTGATTATGTGATGGGACTCCAGCACTGCTCAGAGGTTGGGGCTTCTTGCTTGTCTTCTTTATGACAGTCTGTGTGTCTTTTGTGGGGCTGGGAGCTCAAAGGTAGCCAGGAGGTTTCAGGAGAGGATTGGGGTCGCTTTTCTGCAAAGCCTTCCTGCCCCTCTGTTAGTTGTTTGTTCTCTTGGCACACGCTTGCTCTCAATTAAGTGCTGCCTGGCATGCGATTTTTTTTTTCCTGAACTACGGCAGAAGTGTTTTGCTGCAAAGATCCCTGTGATGGAAGTTAACTTTGTACTGAAGAGCAGCAGTGCCAGCGGCATCTGGCACAGCCCTTACAAAGCCAGCTGGTTGCGTGCTAGAGGAAGGTAGGCTGCACTGGGAAGGGTGGTTCTGGAAGCACTTGTATAGGTTTTGCTTTTTTCTCATGCTTAGGGGAAATTAAATCTTTCTAACATACCTGTGACAAGCAGAGGTCATAGGGAGTTATTGAAGTAGCAAAGGAAAAACTCAAATATCCTCACTATGTGAAGGACACTGAAGCCCTGGAACGTGTCCAGAGAAGGGCTGTGAAGCTGGTGAAGGGCCTGGAGCACAAGTCCTGTGAAAGGCGGCTGAGGGAACTGGGGGTGTTTGGGCTGGGGAAGAGGAGGCTCAGGGGAGGCCTCATTGCTCTCTGCAACTGCCTGAAAGGAAGGGGTGGGGAGCTGGGGGTCGGCCTTTTCTCACAGGTAACTGTGATAGGACTAGAGGGAACGGCCTCAAATTGTGCCAGGGGAGGTTCAGGTTGGAAATTAGAGAAATTTCTCCTCAAAAAGAGCAGTCAGGCACTGGGACGGGTTGCCCAGGGAGGTGGTGGCGTCACCGTCCCTGGGGGATGTTGAAGGAGAGGCTGGACCTGGTGCTTAAGGACGTGGTTTAGTGAATGACATTGGTGGCAGGGGAATGGTTGGAGCAGATGATCTTGGAGGGCTTTTCCAACCTTAATGACTCTATGAAAAGGCTATTCTGATTGAGCATGATTTTGTTCTCCTTCCATGGAGCTCATTGATTTTGATTGGGACAGGACAAAGAGATTGAGGTTGTGGTTGGTATAAAATAGGCAGGATCTGTCCCATCAGTTGTGCAAGCCCTTCTTTATGGGCAGGAAGGGAGGTTTGGTCTTAAACCCCTCCAAAAAAGGCCCTTTACTTGCTGTTGACACTTTGCCTCTACCTCCTCCAAATGTCCATCAACACTTGGCTTGACAGGCAGCTCCCTCCCCTCTGCCAGCCTCCAGATGTTTGAGTTTGGACCCGAAAGGCCTCCTAGTTAGAGCAGGAAGAATCCCTGGAAGTTCCCCCTACTTAAATCTCCCTCGTATTCTCAACCTCCTGGCTTCCTCAAGCAGGTGCAAAGGATGGATAGTATTGCCTGACCAAGGTTTGTAAGAGCCTACTGCCTTCAGGAGCACAGTCCTTTGGGCAAGTCATCGTGCTGTGAACATCAAACATCTGCATGGCCATGTGTGCACCATTCCATCCCCATGCCTTCCTCTGCCTGAAGACTTCGGAGAAAATACACTTTGTGGTGCCCAGAGAGCTGTCTGTGGGAATGGAGCTGTGGAAGAGCTAGTAAATTGCTTTTGTGCCCCAGGCAAGCCAATTGCTCCCCATACGGTAATCAATCCACCTGAGAGCTCCCCCAGCTGAGCGTGGTGGCCCTGGTTTTATGGAGTGAGCAGTGTTTGCCCTGTAATGCCTGCGGCCCCCCTCTGACCAGCAGCATGCGATGGCTCACTCATGGGATGGAGTGTGTGCGTTTAGAGGTGGTGAAATGCTTCGTGGCAGAAAGCTCCGGCCGTTCCCTGTGCCAGCAGGAGAGCTCCCAGCACTTCAGTTTCCTTGGCATAAAATCATAGTGGCAGGTAAATCCCGGAGAAATGAAACAAACCCAATGAAATTAACCCAGTACCACGTGCAGGAGGTGGGGAACCTTTTCACTGTGTTTAGCCCTCTCTTGTGGCTACCACATCATTGCAGGTAATTTTTCAGCATGCTGCAGTTCAAACCAGCAAGCAGTCCTTGTTGATTAATGCTAATAAGGGAGAGAGGCCAGTTCTCTGATGGTCTAGAAGTGCCCCATTAGTGCTGTGTTTCCTGAAGTGGTAAGAAAAGGCACTAGCTGTTTGTTCTGGGCTTTTCGGGGTACCCATTTACTTGCTTCTTGGAATTCCTGGTGCTGTGTCTGAAGGCATGAAGAGGCTGGGAGAAGGATGCTCCCAGGTGTCAGCCAGCTCCCTGGGGCAGCCGGTGGGGCTAGAGCATCACCCGCATGATCACTTTGGGGTGAGGGAGACTGGGAAGAGCTGCAGAGAGGGATTGGGGCTGGGGAGGCAGGGAAAGAGTTTCTTTCAGCATCTGAGGGTGGATTAAGCAGAGCGTTCCTTGTTAGCTAATTGAAACAGTCAAAATGTCAAATGAGGCATTTCAATAATAGTAATGTTAGGAGCTTTACGTTTTTATTTCTCTCCCGCTCTCTTTTGTATTGCGCCTTCAAGACATGGAGATATAAGTCCCTGCCTCTACAAAAACCCTCTTAAAGAGGGGCTTCAGGGGGATGGGGGCAAGGACAGAAGCAGTTTTAATCCCCTCCAATTCCAGCATTATTGTATTTCAGCAAATATTTTGCAAAAGGATTTTCAAGCTGAACTTCAAACAGGCATGTGCCTCACTCCAGTGACTCGGGGAGCTTTGCAAATTTAGAAAAGAAAATGAAGATTGTTTTAGCTGACATTTAAACCTCTTCTCTTCCTTTCCCAGCCTGTCAGGAAGCTTCATACACTTTGGGTCAGACGCTCTTTCCCTGAAGAAGAGAAAGATATTTATAGCCGGGTAGGACCGTAGCGGGGAAATCTCCAGGCTGCAATACCTGTCAGATAAGGTTACTTATGGGCCCCGTTGTAACAGCCCACGTGGAGTCTGTTGCAAGAAAGAAAGAAGGTGAGGGGCCTGGGACACCCAGGTTATCTGGCCTAGGTCCTTGGGGTGGAGGTGGACTTGGCTGGAGCACGATATTTTCTGTGGAAAAAAATCCACCATTTTCTGTATGGCTTACAGTGCTTTTTTGCTTGTTGGAAATTTGTGGGAAGTGACACAGTGATCTTCAAGCATGGTGTGGATCGTTCCTGCCACTGTGGGAGGCAGGGTGGGGATTAACTAGAGGTGAGGTGCTGAACCCCCAGAAAAGCAGCTCTTCACGCCGAGGCCCTGGCTCGCTCGCCCTGTGTGGCTAGGAGCTATGGGGGCTGGCGGAGCACCTGGCCCCTGGTCTTGGTTTCTCCTTGCTCCCTCTCAGCCAGGGCTGACACCAGGCCAGGGATGTGGAGCAGCGAGCAGCTGTCTGGGCTGTGGTTGGAGCAGGTTGCTGCCTGGGATTAGAGTGATTAAGGTTTCTTAAGGTAAAGACAGCTCGTGAAGAAAAAGCAGCGTGTCTGGGGACAGCAGAGCTCTGCCGCAACCTGCTCTTCCCCCCAGTTTGTTCTGCACAAAGAGTTCTGGTTTACGGCAAGCCAGAAGGAGGGTGAGGGGCTGGGTGGCTCTGCTGCAGCCTTCGGGGAGCTCAGTGTGGCTGTGGTGGCCTTTGGTTTTGTGGGGCCACGCAGGGCTTTGGTGTAAGCAGTGCTGCAGGCTGGGCCCTGGGCTTGCTCTGAGGCACCAAGCACAGTGCCGAGGAGGCTCTGATGAGGCACCGGGTATCTGGATGCTGAGGGTTGGTGCCAGCCAAATGCAGCTCTGGGGCTGTTCTTCCTGTGCTGTGAAAACCTCTGAGTTTAAATGGCCTGGGAGCACATCCCAGCTGTAGGACAAGGCCCATGCCTTCTCCGTTTAGTCAGCACGGGACAGTCTTTTTCTCTATTTCCATGTGTTTCCCAAGTTTTTGAAGGAAAGAAATCCAGGTGCATTATCTGGAGAGGCAGCTGTAATGTGGTGTGGCCAAAGCCCTGACTTCCCCATCACAGTGTGGGGATCCCCCCTTCTCCAAGGAGTGGGGATATAGCTACTGCTCGGAGCAGCACGGGGTGCTTTTCCTTCAGGAAGACTCCCCGGGGTGAGGGAATAACAAACCCTCCTACCAACCACCACCCTCAGAGCTGACATCCAGGCACCACGGAGGTGGCAGGGGACCCTCAGCTGGTGCTGCTCTCCTGGGCTCAGCACTGGATGATGCTCAGGAGGGCACCAGGCACGCAGCTGCTGTGTCTGCTTCCTCCTGGGGCCCTCCGCAGCAGCATGGAGCCGAGCTGGCCAGGTTCTCACCATCCCCACAAAGGAAAGCAACAAATCTTGTACGTGGATTGCTCTCCACCGTGGTTTTCCTGCCATCTGCCCACCCTGGTGGACGTTAACAAGCTAGTAGATCTAGTCCTGCTGTGCCGTGATACAAAGATTTATTTTTAGGATGTTGATATTTAAAATGATCTGTTATAATTTCATGCTTAAGTAACACTAAATAATGTTCCCTGTTTGCACAGCGTAATTGGAAGAGGCGAATAAACCAAACAAACCAGCTATGGCTGAGCTTCCTTAGTATTTTCAAACTGAAACAAACAGTAAAAAACAAGGGCTTGGCCAAGTTAACACTTCGGGGGTATTTTCTAGCTCGCATTCTACTTTTTCATTTTCACAGGCCAAGAAATGCAAGAGCTTTGAAGAGCTAGTGGCTTTTTGCCAAAGAAAGCTCAGTTGGTCTTCAACTGAAGGAAAAAAAAAAAAAAAAGAAAAAATTAAAAGTGAACTTATTGTGTATGTTTTTTTTTTTTTTTTTTTTTTAGGAACTGGCAGGGCTAATGACTCCAGAAGTGCCATGGGATTTTATGTGAGTGCAGAAAAGACTTAGAAACTATTCAGCAAGTTCATTTAGGCTCCTTTCATGCTTCTCAAATCTTGAAGCTTCTTTATTGCTGCTTTATGTCAATTTGACACTGCTTGATTTCACTGTCGTTCTTGATTTTACTGTGATGGCACTGCAGTGTTTGGCGCTGAGCGGGTCCCACATCGATCACATCTGTAACATCTCATGTTATCTGCGTGGGATTTCAGGTGATTGAATTAAAGCTGCTGCTTTCAGATTGCCCTATTTGGGGATAGGAAGTTCTGGCTGAGCTGATGTTACCTATGTGCAAAATCACAGGCACATCATGTAAGCAAAGAGGTGTTGTGATTTGTCATGAATGTGTTTCCTCCTGGAAAATTGCCGTGGGAAACTGCATGTAGCCTGGGCTTTTTAAGCTGCTGTGCATCAACTAATCAATGCATCTTTAGCTGGAAGGATCCCTCCCACTAAAAGCGTGAGAGGGACTTTCCCTCCGTGTCTGTGTGCTTACGTTGCACCATGGAGCAATGTCTCTCTGGGCTGCAAAGCTGTTGGTGCTCTGCCTTTCCCTGCTGAGTCCTGCCTTCATTCTCCTCTTGCCCCTGGGGGCCAAGGCAGGACCAGCCCTGGGGGGCACAGCAGGGTGTAAATGCCATGGCCATCTCCCCTCACCAATTCCTGCTCCTGCAGACCTCCTTCCTGCCACCGCTGCTGCTTCTCTCTCCACATCTGCGATTTCCCCAACCTCATCCTACCCTGAGTCTCCCCTTAGCATCCTAGTGTCATCCTCCCTGCTTCCCCATCCCTCCAGTGCCCCCATCCTCCTTGTTTCCCACCTGCCCTGGGCAGCTGGCTGCCCACCAGCCCTTCTCCTTCTCCATCTTCCTATCCCTGCGCTCCCACACCCCGCCGCTCCGCACAAGCCTCGGCTCTGTTTGTGCCCACATTAGCATTTCTGCTGACTGCAAGGATTGGTTTAATTTCATGGGTGTCATTTCCTTCAAGAAATCTCTCTCTGAGCAGCAGCCCGACGAATGCCTGATAAAACATATTTTCCTACGGTAATGATTTTATGGACCCATAAGTCATGAATTTATTATGATCTCAGCCCCTGCTGCTGATTGCTGTAAAATGCAAAGTAATTAACAGCAAGCGGTAGCAGCTATTCCCACCTGGTAGCGTGTTCTTGGGTACGCTGATGGGTTTGATTAAAGTAATGGCTAAAGTGTACAGCCCGGCTGTAAAATATTAGCATGATTAATGCCGTATCCTAAATAAGAAACAAAACTAATGGGCATGGTTTAAAGAATTAAAAATATATATATATATTCCTCTCCCTCCCTCAAGCTATTGTTCTGGCTCATTTATGCTTTCTTTTCTGTTAAATAATGTATGGGCTTCAGGGCCAGGGGGCAGGCTAGAGATGCATATTGCAGTTTCATAACATCTTAAGTGCTTGTGTTAATTTTTCACTCCTCCCTTCTCTTTCCCCTCAACCTGCCATCTCCCATTGGATAGGGGAGAAAGATAATCAAGTTTTCTGGTCTTGGCTTGAAGTCAGATGTGATTTGATTTGGATTGCAGACAGCCTGAGGAAGTGGCTCAGAGGCAACTTGGAGAGTTGGACTTGGTTCCTGGCCTCGCAGAATAAAAATCCTCAAACCGTGCTCACAGTTCCATGGCTGGGGGTGATCTCCATTCTGTGTCAGGAGCCTGGAGCCCGTAAGTTTTTCACACATGAACAATAACCACGTGGCTATCCACAAGCTGCAGTGCTTCCACTGAGAAAACAGCGCTTTTTCTTTTCTTTCTTGAACAGCTTAGAAGCCAAGCAACGGCTGGGTTTGAGTTTTTCTTCTTTTTTTTTTTTTTTTTAAAAAAAAAAAGGCTAAAATAAGGCTTGAAATACAATAACTCATGTCAGATTTCTTTTTCTCTTCACTCCCCTGCCAGAAGCATGGTATGTTTGATTTCTAATATATGGCATTTTCCAGTTAAAAAAAAAAAAAAAAAAAAAGATCAGAAACTACTTGGTTTGGGGGGGTGAGAATAAAGTATCAAAAAAAAAAAAAGACATTTTTCATGTCAAACAGAAAAAAAAAATATTTGGAAATGAAGAAAATACCTGTTTCAAAAGAAAAAAAAAAAAAGAGGGTTTAGTGACCTACACGTTTTGATCAGCTCTTCTCTTTAAATTTCTGAAGATGCATACAAGATGCCATGTAATTCCCTCTGATCTGCCTCTAACTTTCCAGTTGTATTGATCTGCTCTAGTTTATGAAGGTACCGACTATTGGAAAGAAGAGTTTATAAATAACTACAGAGAAACAGGCTTCCATATCAGAAGAGTTCCAGCAGGGCTGCTTTTGTTTATCGCACAACACACATTTTTGGAACTTTTCTTAACCGGGAGATTGCAAGGGAGCTCAGTGTGCCAGTGTCACTGAGAATTGTTGGGTTGTATTGTACTGTGCAAATGGTGTTTTCTCCCCCTTGGGACGGAGAGGTTTCTGTGTTTGTTTTTGTAGATAAGATATAAACTCTGTAGTGGTTCTGCTAGTAAATACAAGCAGCCTGAAGCTCTGGAATATGTCTTGTTAGTCCCTCCAGTAATTTGACAAAGTATCCTTCCAGCAACCTCCTAAAAGTACAACATGAAAAATGTTGTTGAGCCTTCAGTATCTGGAACAGTTGTGGCAAGGGGGTGCTGGGCTGTGCAAATAGCTGCGCATGATGGCCAGCTCTCTGCCAGTGCTGGTGTGTGTTTCGGATATCTCATCCACGTTCCGTGGTGGTCAACACCAGCAGTAGACATAAGCGTTACCAGGAGAGAGAGACTGCCACCTCTGGGGTTGTCATCATCCTTTTTGAAGGTTATAGGAAGTGTCAAAAAAAAGAGAGATTGTGATCAAAGGCATGGGGGAGCTTCTGAATAAGGAGAGATCAAGCAGATTGGGATGTGTCAGCTTAGAAAAGAGGCAGGTAGGAGAGGGGTGCAATCGAGACATCATGCAGCCTGGAGTGGAGAAGAGGTGGCAGAGATGATTGTTTGCCATGTCTTGTGATTCAAGAGGGTTACCCAGTGAACTCATTAAGCAGAAGGCTTAAAGCAAATGAAGGAAAGTACATTTTCCTGAAGTGCATAATTACATACGTAATTCATCACTGGGCTGCTGTGGAGTCCGAGAGGGTAGTATAGATGTGAAGTGGGCCTAGGTTGTTGTGGAAGGCAGATCCCAGGGGGTTGCAGAGCATAACCAAAGGGTTTGTAGAAAGAAGAGGGCCATAAATATCCCATCACTCATTTGCTTCCTCCCTCCTCCCCTCTGCAAGACTGTGGCTGTGTTTCTTCTGCCCAGAGCATCCTCTATTGTGAAGCAGGGGCTCAGGGGCTGAGCCCTGGAGGGTATAGTTGCTGAGGTCTCACTGAGAGCATTTTCTCCTCAGGGTCAGATGTCCCCAGAGTCTTCTCCCTCAGTGTGTGGCCTTGTGTAGTGGCTGAGGAAGCACGGGGATGGAGGGGCTGTGATGCTGGTGGGCTACATCATGGTCCTGACCAGAAACATCTGGGCTCGGTGGGGCAGCAGACACCACATGGGGCTGAAGCCTGGCAGTGGGCTTGAGAGGTAAGAGCCAAGTTGTGAATTTCAGCCCACCTATGGGACTCGATGGTACCCCAGCAAACACCTGAGTGTTTGGATGGTGCATGGTGGCTGGGCAGGGGAAGGCAGATCCTTTCCATTTCTCATTTAGGTACTGCTGGAGTTGGTTTCTGCAGGCAGGCAGCACGGCTGCAGGGTCATATTTGGAAGGCTTTCTCAGCAGTGTGCACATGTTAATGATGTTTGAGGAGTAGTTTCTGTGGGAGATCTGGGAGCCAGGCAGCTCTGCAAATCAGCCCATTAGTATTTTTAAAAGAAAGCCTCCATCCTGTAGGAACTACTGCGGCCTCTGGAGAGGTGCCAGAACTGTATCCCAGATTGCACTGCATTCACTTCTCCTATTAGATCTTTCCCTCTCTCCTTTCATCCACCCCTTTTCCTTCCCTCCTGGATAGAGCTTTCTATTGCTATTCTATCCAAAACGCACCCCAGCTATTGCTTTTCGTGCCTCTCTTGCCTGGAAGTTTGCACGAGGATAGGTTGTCGTTTCTCCCCCCCCCCTTCTCCTTTTGGAGCTAATCACCCTGCTGAAATTGAGCTGTAATGCAGTTGGCAGTGGTCAGATTGAGCTGAACGTGTGTGCTCCAGCACATACCCAGATTCTTGCATCAATAAAAATGAACACAGACAGCCGCAAAGCGAAAGGGATATCACTCGGCCTTGTTTAAAACACACTCACACCAAAGCATAAGCAACCCGAACAAAAGGTCCCTGTCTCCTCTTTTGAGGCAGGTGAAAGAAGAAGTTATTGGACTTGATGTACACGGTGAGAGGGGGAGACAGTCTCTCCCCCCTCTCCCCCCTGCCATCCGCAGCTGTGCAGCAGGTAAAGAGGAGATTGCCTTTGGTGGGGAGGATTTATAGGTATCGTGAGTCAGTCAGAGTGTCAGGGTAAATCAAGCCTGACGTTTTTAACATCTTCCCCACACAAAGGGGGGCAAGGGGGAATGGAGGAAGCAATTGTAATTTTATGTCTATATCCTGCTCGGCTAATCAAGGTGAGCAAGAGACATGCCAGCCAGAGGAGATTTTCCTCTTGTTAGCTTGATCGTTTCATGGCTTTGGCTCTTCCCTTCCGTTCCTGGACTACCAAAGCAATTTCCTCTGGGGGGGGGGAGAAGGACCCAGCTGATCAGGCTGTAGGCAAATAGTTCTTGTTCCCTGGGCCTGTCTCCTGCAATATGCCTTGATTCAGATAAATGCAAATGCATGGAAAAAGACCTTTTAGCAGAGGTTTGGTTACCTTTGGCCCTCTCCCATCTCCTCATTCCTGTTCAGAGCCCTGGCTGACCCCAGACCCTGAGATGGCAGTGCTGTGGTGTGCAGCATCCTCTCCTGGTCCTCTTTCATCCCTGTCTCTCAGGAGCATCCTGCTCAGGCTGGACATGCAGGTGAGCTGTGGAAGGAAGGGTTATCTGCATCACAAGGGGAAGTTAATTCCAGAGGATTTCCAGCAGCAGCATGGCTTACGGAGTCATGCATGGTATTTGTCTTGTCTTGCCTTAGGCCCCTGCTGCTGTAAATCCTCCCGGTGCCTTTTGCCATGCTCCCAGCACAGGCAGCCTCCCCACGGGGTGCTGGGTGGGCTCTGGTGTGCGAGGAGATAGAGGGAGGCAGAGTAAATACATAACTAGGTCCTCTTTCACCCTTCCCAAGCCAGAGTGAGGATGCCTTGACCATGGAGGTGTCTGCTGTGGGTGGGAAGAGGGAGCAGGATGAGCCCTGGCCATGCAGTGCTGAACGGAGCTGAAAACTGCACGCTGGGTCTGTGTGCAGTACGGGCAGGGCAGCAGCATTGAAATTCCTTGCGTGCACACAAGTGGGCGAAGCCATCAGCAGAGGGCAGGGAGCCTCCGAGCTCTGTGGGCTTGTGCTGATTTACACCAGCTGGGGAACGGGGCCAAATCTGTCTCTTTCAATGAATGATCATTCAATTTTTCTCTCGGCTATCAAGCCCTTAAACAAAAGCCAATTGAAATCAATGGGAGACTTGCATCATTTTCAGGGTTATAGGTCTAAAAAAATGGGATGCTCGGGGAAAAAGCAGGCAGGGAAGAGAAAGGGAAGAGAAGGAGGAATAAATGCTGCTGTAACGTTATGGCTTACAATGTAAACAGATGTGAGTGAGAAATGCTTTCGTTACGATTCTCCCAGCAGCCACAATTCAGAGAAGCGGTATGCAGGCATGTATACATGGAGAGCATCCTTCGTTATGCAAACTGCTCCGCGGGCACAGAGGGAGCCCGGCCCTCTGAGAGTCCTTTCTCTGCATGCCCTGTTCCTATATGTGATTAAGTTCTCTGCTCGCCCACTGCACTTAGGGCTCTTATTAGCGGTAAGCACATGCTCCGCGGGATGGCTCTTGCATGCGGAACTACAGCAAGAAGCACTGCCTTCTGCTCGCAGAAACCAGCAGGATTTTTTGCAGGAGCTGGAAGATGGGGAAGCTATTATCTTGTCCAGCCTCTGGCTGCATTTTGATAAAAATCCGTTGTCCAATGACTGCAAAGTATTTTGCAAGTACAGGCGGGTAAATCCTCGACAAACAGGCATTATCTGGCCTATTTTTACAGCTGAGAATTCACAGCCATCAGACCCATCTAGGTGATGCTGCTGTCTTCACCTGGTGATCTCCTCAGCTGAATGAATATGTCAGGACCAGTCCTTTCAAATGCAGTCCCAGTTTGAACACAGCCCTCCAGTGTGTCTGGATAAAGTCACACTCTTCCTACCTCAGCCTCCCCATCCATATAACAGGTATGACAATCATCCTTTCCCCTGGGTAAACATTTCATTATGCGATGCTGCTGAAGTACCTTGGAGGGGAGAAGACCTTCGGATAAGTCTGCATTCTCAATTTGGATATATTTGTCTGCGTGTTTTCTGCTTTAGCTGTCGTTCTCTTGCTTTGCCTGCTCATTAGTTCTGCCTGAGTGCAAGACCTCTCCAAAAATGCAGCGTTGGCAGTGGGCATGAATTCTTAACGACTCCTGTCTCTAATGACAGAAACCAGGGCCAGGCAGTCAGTTTGCTCGCTGAGAGCAGGAGACGCAGACTAGTGTGCTGCCGATTTCTCTCATCACAGGGCGAGTTTGCAAATCACAGAAGGATCTGCGAAATATGCTCAGGTGCTGGCCTGCTTCTCGGGTGGCAAGGAGAATTGGTTGGGATGACAGACGGAAAGAGAAGAGGTGCCTCGCATTCCGTGGAAGGTGCTGAATTTGATTTTAATGCTCTCTCTGTCTCTCTCTGGACTCTCTTCTGTTCTGCCCAAGTGATCAAGAACGTATTTTGGCTTTTGATACAGAGGTGGAAATACCAAGCCTGACTTGCTCAGCGCCCTGTTGTGACGCCCAACTTCACACGGAGGGAAATATTAAATCAGTAAAAACAACAGACAACACAGCAGCCAATTTAAAGCAAGAGTTAAAACCAAATCCATTGTACAGAAAAGAAGGACTTAATGGGAAGCTTAAAAGTTATTTTTAGTAATGTTTTTGCTGCCTTTTGTTTCCATTCTGTGCTTGTATTCAAAGCTTTGTTGACTTCTAGAAACATAATTTTCAACACAAGTTAGCCTTTCCTTTTACAGACTCTTTATATTTTGTTTAAAAAAAAAAAAGTCTTGGCAAGTTAGAATAGGTAGGAAGGGAAAGGAAGGTGAATCCTGCCTAGGTGCCATTCATTCTATTTCATTTAATGGCAGGGATAAGAAGAAAGAAATGAGAAAATAGCATTCAAAATCTTCACAGCTCTTTGATTTTTTTGACTCTTAAAAGCCAAAAGAGAGAAAATTACAATTTTACGGGGAGGAGAAAAAAATCTGAATTCTCATTTTTGCTGCGTTCCTACTGAAGTGTTACTTGGTGGAATTGTATTGTTTCTGATGAAATCTCGGTATACACTGAGAAAAATTTGAGTTGTTTTTGTGCTCTCCACTCCCTCTTAGAGCTCTGCTTATTTCTTTGTGCTCGTCTTTGCTTTTCTTTTTCATCTCTTGTACTGTTTGTGTTTCTCCCTTCTGTCCTTGCTGATGCCTTTTTTCCACTCCTCCTCCCATTCCACTAAAATTACCACCGTCAAGACTGTTAAAATGACTCTGAGGTGTTTCCTTCCTGGACGGACTAATTGGGGCTGAGATCTTTATAATTCCCAGAGCTATTTTCTTGGGCTGACCAAGTTGACTTCACTTTACACATTACTGCTGGAAAGTTTGGTTCAGGGTATCTCTCTCCCAGCCTAATATGGCAAGGTAGGCTCTGGCACTGGAGCAGTCCACGTGGCCCATGTAGGTCGGTCAGGTGGCTGTATGTGCCTGGAGTGACTGGAGAGTCATTCTGGATTTGCAATAACTGAAGCTCAGCCTCCTTGCTAGCACTCTGCCCATCTGTTAGATAAGTTTGGAAATAAAAAGTTAACTATAAGCTATTTTTAAATATATATATATATATATATATATATATATTAAAACAGCCGTTTAGGCAGTCTTCTGAACCATAGGTTGGTGTTTGGAGGAAAGGAAAGAGAAAGCTGTGAGGTGTTCTGGCCATGTATCCCTCAGGATTTATTTTCTGTTTCAGGTCCCTTCTGTGGATGAGTGGAGCCATTGCCTGCCGTGGGACCCTGGTGCTCTTCGGTGGGGCTGAGGAGTGTGATGTCCAGCAGTGCTCTCCTGCTGTGTTTGGCTGTGACCTTCTTTTTTCTCTGTGGGGTAGGGCCACGCGTCAAGCTGTATGGCTGTGTCAGTTCAGGGACTGCAGGTCAGCTTTGGCATTGTGCCACCCAAACATGTGAGGCATGGCTATAGCTCCCAGTGGGGCTTTCAGAGCTGCCTCAGCCTGCAAACCTCACTTAGACTCTGCTCTGTTCCTAACGATGTCTGGCTACCACGTCCACTGAGCAGCGAAGGGAATACGTGCTGGGAAGAGAAAAATGAGACAAGGCTGGGATGAGAGGCTCAGCCATCCCTGGATAAAATGTTTGAGATCACGCTGGAAGTCTGGCAAAGGTACACTGAATCTCTCATGGGTGCCATGGCTCTAACTTGGGGATGAAAAGCTCAACAGCTGTTTTTAGTGAAGTCTCTGGGGCTCTCTGTTCTCTGCTTCGCTGGCGGGCAGTTCCCACTTTGTCTTTACCCTTTGAGCCCCGCAAGGCATGTTGATTCCACAGTGCACTTGTTCTTGAGGGCGGCTCTTGAAATCCTGCCGTAATTATTCACGAGCCGTGATTGGAGCCCACGCACGGAAGGGTGGGGGCTGTTATTTGCATCTAGGGAGGATCTGATTATAATTGTAGCAGGGAAGTTTGTTTGAGCCTGATTCGGTGTCAGCTTGAAATTCCTTGATGATGCTCCTTGGGCAGGAGAGGTGTACAGGCACAAGGTCTGGGGAAGGTTAATGGAAGGGACTCAGGGTGTCAGGCTTGTGTAGGGAAATTACTTTTAGTTCACAAAAGATGAACGCAATAGAACTGCTTAGCTGGAGAAAGAGCAGCGTAGTAGAAACTAGAATTATCTGGCTGATCCTTAGGATACCACTGTCTTCTCCACCCTGAAGACTTAAGAAAGATGCATGTTTTGTTCAGGATGGTTGATTTAAATCACCCATTTTAATCATGATTTAAATCAACAAGCAGGAAATCTTGATTTAAAAAGCACATTTTAATCTTGTATTTTAAAGTTCATTTCCTAATGAAACATAGTTTCTCATTGGTTGGCATAATTTCGTACTATTTTTGGCAAAGCAGAAGGGGACGCGACACCCATACATATTTATTGATGTGACTGTATAGCTTAACATATATCTGTTCTGATTTGGAACTTTTACATCTTTTTATTACATTGGAGAAATGGGAAACATGTAATTCCTGATTTATTAGACATGGCTGCTTCTTTTACGTGTCTCGAGCTACATGAGGATAAAAATTAAAATGCAATTAAAAATGCATGAAGAAAGCATTTTGGAAGTTTTGTTCGTATCGTAGAACAGAGGGCTGGAACGAGCTGCTGCAGATAAATCTCCTTCTAGGTTGGCATTGAGGCAAGATCAATTACACCTTTCCCCTTCTCACAGGTGTTTGCTTAACCTTTCCGTAGTTGTCTCCAGTGAAAAATTCTGCAACTTCCCTGATATCTGTTCCGGTGAGAAAGTTTTTTTTAATGTCTAAACTTAAGCTTTCTTTGCTCCAAGTTAAATTATTTCTTCTTCTCCTGCCACTGTGAACACAGAGAACAATCGACTTCTGTCTTAATAACCTGCTAGCTATTGGAAGATTGTTATGCCTCTGTGCCTTAGCCTTCTCTTTTTTTCTTAATTTTTTTTTTTAGGCTGAATGAACCTAGTTCATTTAACCTTTACTTGCCAGTTCTTTTTCCTAAAGCTGTGGCTGTTTTTATTTCTTTTCCTCCGGACAGCTTCCTGATTTTTTCATCTCACTCTGCATCTGCAGTGAAATTACTTTATGGATGCTTCAGAAGGAGAAATTGCTTGCCGCAGTGTGCCTGCAAACTGCGGAACTCATTGCTACAGGATACTGGGGATGCTAAAGTTAAATGGGTTTGGAGAGCATTTAAGCAAACTAATGAAAGATGTTTCTGAGCTGCGAACTGCTGGAAGGCCTCATGAGACTGGGACAAGCAAGACATGGAGGGAGGAGGGATAGTGTGCTGCTGCTCAGTCCCATGGTTTCATTGCTGGTTTTGGGGTGCAGCTCGCCCTGTTGGGGTCCTGCTGCCACTGGTCTGCTGCTCTGCATCCACACCGTGCTGTTATCTGCCAAGAGCCCATCACGTTGCTGTGCTTTGGAGAAGAGTTGGGATGTGCCGGTGCCTTCCTCCCTGCAGGTCCTCTTCGCAGCCTCTGCAGTGTCTGCCCCCAAGCTGGCTGTGAAAGCAGGGCTGGCTCTGCTGTGGGTACGCTGGCAGTCAGAGCCTTGGGGAAGCTGGATGGTTGCAGGGGTGTACAAATGTGGTAGGATTTGAGTGCTCACTGGAGGCTGGCAGAGTCCAGTTCTGCTCCTTCCGACGGCAAACACAACTGCGGGGTGGTGCTGGGATCTGTGCCGGGGCACCAGGGTGGTTACTGCTGCCCTGGCCAGGCTGTGCTACCACTGTAATTAAACGGCTGCGGGGAAGCAAAATCTGCCTCTTCCCCAGAATGTGCTGGATTCAAGCTCTCCTTTTATCCGTTCAGAAAGTGCTGAAGTGTTTCTAGCTGCTCTTCAAAAGCAATTCTGCACTGCCCAGAGGGGGCTGTAAGTCATGTGGGGAGCCAGGAGAAAACGATACTCATCATCTCAGCAGAAGTGTGTAAACCACTTAACTTTTCTGGCTTCAGCTCCTGGGTGAGATTTAAACCCTCGGATGGGACTGTGGTTACAAGGGTACCTTTAGTGGGCTAAAGGTACCCTGTGAAGCTATCACTTTTGGAAGAACTGGGTTTGGGAAAAGTGCTGCTGTGGTGTCTTGAAGGATGTTCACAAAGGTAATTGCAGTCCTTGGCTTTCCCGTGTGCCGAGACATCATGGTGCTCTGTGGTTTCTGTGAGAAAGCCCTGTTATTGAGGGCCTTTGGAGAACAGCACTTCTTTGTTCCTGTTCATGGCTGGCTTTCCAAACCCCTTCTTCTTTTTCAGTTCACCTTGTGGAAAGGAACACATTCAGAAGGGGCACAAACTTAGGAAGATCCTGTCTGGGATTAACTCTGCTGAGGACACTGGAGTGCAGCACGGAGCGGGCAGGTCCACGGGTCTGTGGGTGCTAATGGTGCTGCACCAGCACCTGCGGAGGGCTGAGAAGGGGCAAAGCAAAAAGCTGCTCCTCAGCTTCCAAATGGTGCTCCCAAGAGGAGAATTGCTTCAGAAGGAGCTCCTCACAGGTATTGGATCCCTTGTATCTCTTGACAAACCTTTGCACTGAGAGATGTCTCTTTTTTCAGAAAATAATAAAGCTGGGCAGCTTGCAAGCCGCGGGCTTGCGCTCGCCTTCTCCCTCATGTTCATGTGCTTGGCAGTGTCTGTGCTTTTGCTGAAGCAGCCTGGATTTGGTTTTAACTCTTGCTTCTCTGTGAAAGTAGAGAGCATGCAGAGAGAGAATAGGTTTGCTTTTTTATAGGCAGGCGGAGGGTGGGCACCAAAACCCACTCCCCTTTAATCTCACCTGCTGAGGATGACAGAACTCGTTATATAGACTCCTATCCACTGCCAGTTTAATTAACTAGTGGTCCCAGAAAGCCCTTATAGAACAACTGATTCATTTTTTTTATCCGATTTGGTATTGTCATCGCTGTCCTGTTGGCACTCAGGCTGTTGCTCAGCCAGCTCTTGGATGGTGAAAGCTAGACCTTGCTCCTTTTCCCAAGCCTGATTTTATCCCATAGGCTTTTAGACTAGAGATGCAGATTTAAAGAGCAGAAACCCTCACTGTCTGTAGCTGCGTGGGGAGTGTGTGGCTGCAGCTGGAACAGCCTTCGAGTATGAATGGCACAGGGCAAGGAAAACATGCTCAGCGTTGTTTCATTGCCTTGGCTTACTGTCTTTGCTCCACACCTGACCCGAGGACACATGTGAGAGCAATACAAGATGTTCAGCCACTTGTCATGTCGTGTCTTTTCCTTGCCTCTGGCCTGAACTGAGGTCTTTCGGTTGCTAGTTCTTGCGGTTTTACTGGTGGCCCTCCTGGTGATACATGTCATGTCGACGCCCCGTGTTGTAGGAGCATGTGACAAAGAGAATCACAGCCCTGATTGCAATAAAACTTAATTTCCCCTGCCTCCATAAAAATGTGTATGTGAAAAGACACAGCTGAGCCCTCAGGGCTAGATGTAAGAAGGCAGGGGGAAGATCTCCCAGGGTGTGGGGATTTAAGAGGTTGCTGGTGTGGGGATGTGGGCTCTGGGGTCACTGGTTCTGGGTTCCCTGAGGCTGCTGCAATGGGGGGTGCTGGGGTGAATCGGGGCTTGAAGAGAATTAAAGCTGGCTCTGAGGAAAATGACCTGAACCCTCCAACTTGACACAAGGTTGGGTTTTGTGTTGTCTGTGCCAAGGACGTGAAATTTGTAATGGCAAGCAGGGTGAGGGCAAACAGCTTTTAAACCCAGGGCAGGTCCTCCCTGTTCCCAACCCCCTAGCTTCCCCAGCCCTCTTCTCACTCCCTGTTCCATTGACCAAGCACAGAGCCCACCCTTAACCCTCATCACCTAGCCAGCTGGGCACATCCACCTCTGCCCTGTCTGCAGCCTCAGAAACACCAAAGGCATCCTGGAGAGGGCGGGGGTCTTCCGGGACTGTTGGTGGCTGGCGGGATGGTGTTGCTTTGCTTGAAAACACAGAAGGGGTCATTAAGTCAACAAATTTGGCTTCCTGCACGGCTGAGAGTGCCCCAGAAACTTAATGGGCTGCTCTTTTGGGCAATAGCTTGTGCTCAATATTTATAGAGAAATGGTGCTTTGAAAAGATCCCATTTTTTAGCCTCTCCTGCTGTTCTCTAGCTAGGGCTGAGCCTTACCGTTAATAAGGGAAATGCAGACATCTCTTCACAGTAAAGGCAAAAAAAAATAAATATATAAACCCCCTTTGCTTTCCTTCCCATCTTGTCAGGAGCACCCTGCTGCTCCCCTGTGCTTTCTTCCTATTGCACAAAGAGCGGATTCTCTCTCTCTGTTGTGCTTCTCACTAGAGGAATGGCTGCTGAGCGTGTCCATGCTGCCATACTGTATCCTGAAGTTGGCTTTTAACAGCAGACAAAGGAAAGTGCAGCAGTTTGGGAGAAAACGGAGAGTCTGGAGGACCTGGGGTTAGTCTCTGTTATGCTTTGGATTTACTGTGCAGCCTTGGAAAAGTCACTTGTATGCATCTGCTCTCAGCCTGTAAGCATAGCCTCTGTCCGCACCAGTGTGATCTGCTGGACTTTTTTAGTACTGCACAGTAGTCATGTGTCACTCCTAACCATATTCCATCCACGGAGGAAAATATGCGGGTGCTGAAACAAGGGGCACTTTGAAACTGCAGCTTGGACGTTTGTGTCGCTCAGGTGCTTTCAGAAATATGACCTGCAGTTTATGGTGCAGGCTGAAATATTGCAAAAGGCTATTTTGAGCCTTGCTAGCTTTAATTGAGATCCAGGCTCCTACCAGTCCTCGTGAAATGAGCCTGACACCCTCCTCTGTGTTGTTCTAGTGAAAATGGGTTTCTTAAGCTTTCTGGCTGCACTTTGGATAAGCGTTTCTGTTTGGAGGTGTGTGTAATGCCTGTCACCAAAAGGATGGGGGTCCTGGCTCCGGAGGGTTTGTTGGGTGTGTTATAATTCTGCTTTCAGTTTTGGCTTTGGAAAATCACCAGCAGTGTTAGGATCTCCAGTGAGAGATGGTGGCTGAGAACTTGGAAGGACACTCGGTGGTTCACCCAGGGGAGAATCCATTGCCCAAGCCCCCTCCTGTCTGTGGGGGCTATTAGGAGATCAATTTATTCTTGAAGCCTGCAGGTTTATGAACGCTGTCTCTTTTCTTCAGCTGAGTTAAAAGGAACTGTTTCCATTTGATTTCCTTGGGGACTGAAGCTGGCTGTCTCTGTTCCTCAGCTCAGGGCCATGGCAGTGGGGAGAAGAGGGAAGGGGAAAAGCCGGGAGCGTGCAGCAAGGGTCTTGGCTTGTGCTGGACTAGGAAAACCTGCCTTGTGGCAAGGATGGGGAGCAAGCTGTGGGATTGCTCCCCCAGAAAAACGTGCAGTGCTGCAGCTGTGGCTTCCTGCCAGGAGGATCAGCCCCATCAGTGCTCCTGTTGCAGCATCCCTGGTGTGGTGGGTGGGTGAGGACACGGTTTGGCTCTGAGGCTGAGCTGCTTGACTTTGGAGGCTGTGGGGAAGGGGCAGCTTTCCCTGGGCTGGTGCAACATGCAGAAGACTGGCATTTCTGAGGCCTCTGAATGTCACCAGTGTGTTGAAGATGGCACTGGGCTTCTGGCTGGCAGATGCTATCAGCCGTCTGTGTAAGAAAGCCTACAGTATCTGAGAGCTTGCAGAGCTCCCTGCAGAACTGATACCAGAGAAAACATCTTGGTTTCTCTTACTGTTTTTTCCCCCTATTCTTTATTCAGGATGATTCAAATGCTCCTGGGACCTCCGAGGCTTCCTGGTCATTCTGTAGCTGCTGGATTTGTTTTCACCTTGCAAAATGGATTGAAGTGCTTTTCACCAGAACTCCTCGCCCTTCTGCACGGGGATCGAAGAGCTACGCTCCTTGGTTTGTGTGACAGAATGACCGCAGGTGCTGTAAGAAAGCAGGAAATCATCTTTGTAAAGCTGTCCAGAAAGCCTTGAATTCAGGTACAAGCCTCATGTTTATAGGAACATAAAAGGAACCATGGAAACTAAATATAGGTCGGAGCACCCGCAAGTAGAAAAAGAATCAGGGATTGAAAAGTTACCCAGATTTCTCTGCCTTTGGGTTTGCTCTGCTGGTTTCAGACTCGTTTGGGGTCCTAGGCTCTGTAGGAGTCTTTGGGATCCATGTAAAGAAGGAATTTCTGGGGAAAGCAGCTGACAAAAGATCTCATTTAAATCCTGGCTGTGCTTTGGTCCTTGGGCTTATCGTTGAGGGCTTGTTCCACCAGGGTCCCATGCTGTTCGGTCCTAAGTGAGCTGCTGCTGGTTGTGGTGTTCCTGTTGAGCCCCAGGAGAGGTCAGATACCCGGAGAGGATTTGAGAGCTTTACATGTGTTGTTGACCTGGACCCTTACACTTTGCTCCCTCCTGTTCCCTTATCTAGAGGATTATCCCACGGAGTGCTTCGTGCCCTCCTGGGCTCTTAGCAGAGATTCAGCTCCTCTGCAGTCCCCAGCTTCATCACAGGAAGCTTCTTCACCTCGCTGCTGCCAGCATGCTTTTGGCGACCCTGAGTGTCCCGTCAGCTGTTACAGGCCATTAAAGGATTTGTTTCTCGGCGTATGAAAAGGCTTAATTCAATTCTCATTCTCTCCTGGCATTCCTCAGAGGTGAGTGCGTCCCCTCGGCACGAATCCTCCGATGCCGCTAATTGACTTGAAAGTAGCTCATGTCTCCTTGGAAATGTCACCCAGCCCTTTTCAAGTGCAATTCCAGGCAATCAGGATCAATATGTTGCTTTAGCTAAGGGTATTAGCACATGACTGACAGCCCTGCGACATTAGCTTATTCATATGGACTTCCAGATGCTCATTTTTCTTCGCTGCCTCAGCTGCAATCCCAGTAAGAGGGGACAGAGCTTGGAGTGGAGCCATTACCTGGGCTGTGTTTGTTCACAGCACGATGGTGGGTACGGTGCTGGCTCTTGCACACCTGCCCTAAACCTACACAGTGTTCCCATCCCTCTCCTTCCTGGTGAGATCAAACCGTGCTGCCCCATCCACTTGTTCCTTGTGTCATGGCCTTGAGATGTTTCCGAGCGGCAGGGGCTGAGTTTTCAGCCTGTGTTAATCAGCGTGGTGCTTTGTTTGATACGAGACAAGGTGTTGGTGTATTTTTGCTGTACCTTTGCACAGAGAATATTGTCAGTGCAATTATCCCTCCTCAGATCTCTATCCCTTTGTGCTCCTCTTGAGGCTTGGGTCCACAGCTGAAGATTTCTCTTGCTTCCCTTGTTGTGTGGTGATGGTCCTGTGGTCCTGGCGTTATTTTGAGCCAACGTTTGGGTTTCTGATTTCTGTCTTTCAGCAAGTACCCATTGTTCCCCTTTGTCTCAAAAATGTCTGCGAATTTGTCTTCCCAGCAGCTCTGTGAGGAAGGGGAGTGCTGCTCTCTCTGCTTAGAGGTAGGTGGTGAAAGCAGCGGTAAAAGGAATTGAGAGGAGCTTACAAAAGAACTCGAGGCAGTGCTTCTGTGAGTGAATTCAATATGGGCCCAAGTGCCCTCTGCTCTTCTTGCCCTCTTTAACGAGGCTGGCACAGCTAATGTCATTGCACTGCTCCTCTCTGGGGACAGCTCGCACCCCTTCTGTACCCAGCCATGCCTCTTTGCTTGGGAGGGAGAGGGAACCTTATCCCCTGGTTCAGGAAACCCTGACCCAGGGAACATAGCAGCAATATTCAGAAGCAGGTTAAAGAATATTTCAGGTTTTTCAAAGGAAGAAACTGAGATGCTGGGAAGCCAAGTGCCATGTCCTAAGTGAGACGGTGTTTCTCAGAAGCGATTCCTCCGAGTGCCTGCCTCGCGGCTGTTGGTACTCCCAGCTCTCGAGAAGAGCTGCTCCCTGGCATCAGAGCAGGTTGGAGCCGCAAGGAAGAAACCTGAAGTTAGCTCCCAAGTGGCAAATATTAACAGATGTGGGAACGAGGTGTGCTGTGCTGGAGGACTGGGAAAACTTGGAGGGGCTTCTGTGCCATGCTGTGACTTTGAGCATCTCCCTTGCAGGGCTGGTGAAGGCACGCGGTGTACTGCAGTCTGGGGCTCGAAGCTGCTGCAGAGCCAGAGGTGGGGAATCTGTGTCAGGGAGCTTCTGAGAACATGTTCCCAAAAGACACATCAAGAGATAAACAAGCAAGACTGGAAAACTACTTTTAATCTGTGATGCTGCCTGGATACCTGCAGATGTCTCGCTGAATGCTGTGCCCTTTGAAATTCGTCAGGGTAGTCAGGAAGGGGTTAACATGTTTGCCCTGTGAAACAGCCAGAACGAGTGCATCCGAAACTCTGGCAATCAGAGGCAAGCAACAATTATTAACGCCTCGGCATTTAATGTGGCAGATCGCTTCCGCCCCCAGTTACATCGTGTGTTCAATTCCAGAGCACTCGGAGTTGTCAGTCAGCAGGTCCATAGATCATGGCGACCTTAGCATCATGTCAAGGGGCTTCACTCCATCAGGGATAATGAACATCTCCCACCGGTTTCTTCCCATCATTCATTTGAGATCCAGAAGTTCATCATGCAAATGACAAACAATGTTAATTTTCTGCAAATAATTCCTCCAGATGTCCGTGGGACTCCAGCGCTCCTCGCCCAGAACAGTAAAATATGTTTGTCTTCCTCCCTATAATTCATCACTAGGCCTGCAAATCTCCACGAACTCTCTATAAACAAAGCAGGAGGCAGAGCACAGAGCCTGATAGTTCGCTGCAGTGCAGACGTGCCTCGTGCTCTCTCAGCAATGCACGTGGGAGAAGGAGTGGAGAGGTGGAAGAGGTCAAGAAGTTTCTTCTCAGCTGAGTTGACTTTGTGCTCAGCCTTGCAAATGTACGCGTGATGGTCTGAGCCAAGCCTCACACAAATGCGAGTCAACGTGAGAGGAGAAACTCGAATATTTCTGGACTTAAAACGACTGGCCTTCAGGAACAGCTGGATCTCCAGTGAAACCTGCTGCGAGCCTTATCTGCGTCACTAGGAGACTTGCCATCGGATGGCGAGGCTTTGCCGTGGCTCTGTATTGAGCTGCTCTCGGATGGGTAGTGAGGCAAATAGGCAGAGCTTGCTTGGTTTCTCCAAGCATCTCTCCAGCTCCCTGAGCTCCAGATCCAGCCAAAAATATATGAAGAGCTGAAATCCAGGGTGGTTTGGGCTACAGAGCATAAGAAAGAGTTTTGGCTTGGACAAGTACGAAGATGACGCAGAAATTAGTTCCAGCAAGTACATCTGGAACAGGGCAGACCCATGATGAAGCAGCCAACAAAACAGTTGTTGGTTTTTTTGTTTTTTTTTGTTTTTTTTTTACTCACAAGATGTCAGCGGGCAGGTAGGACAAAAATACCAAGAGGATGGTGCAAATCCAGATCCAAAGCTCAGGAGATGCTGTATGCGCCCAGATTTGCCACTCCTGCCCCTACTCCTGCCAGCCATTAAATGGCATGGACCCGCTCCCTCCCCTGCTGTCCTTCTCACTCTGGAAGGGTTTTTAAAGGTCCCTCTAAGCGGCAGCTGCTGTGTGGCTTTTTGTTTTTTGTTTTTCTTTTTTTTTTTTTTTATGATGAGCTGGAAATTAATTTCCTTTTTGCTGGCATTGGACTATCTGTTCCCACGTCGCAGTGCAGAATGAGCTCGTAACTCTCTTGACTGCCTCATGGCTGAGTTATGGGGTCTTCTGTAGTGCAGCCCAAAGGGTTTAATTTAAGTACGGGTGTCTTGAAGAAAGCAGAGAAGTGACAACTACCTAGTGCTTTTGCAGTCCATACACTTGGAAACTTTTACTACTCCTGGACTGAAAGGGCTCTTGTTTTAAATTAAAATTAGGATTTCTTGTCCTTCCCACAGCAGTGCTAGGAACAGGTTTTCCCCCTATTTCCTTTTTGCTTGTTGGGAGATGTAACCACGTCTTCAGCTTTCCGTCTTCCCTTGCCAACAGTCTCCTACAGATTTCCAGTTGCTGTTGTCTGTCTCCTTTGGACTGTCTCCAGTTGTTCATATGGTCTTGGAGCTCAGCATCCCAAGCAGGACATTATGCTCCAGCTGAGACCTGAGCAGCGCAGAAGACGTGCGAGGATAATCCAGACCACTTACGCGTGACATCTTCGTCTGCTTTGATCTTGGTTGCCCTTGGCATGATCTTGAACTTGTTTTGGGGCAAGTGGGGTGAAGTGCTTTGGTTACTGTCTGGGCCACCTGTTGGTGGCACCTCATTGCCACACATGGGCACTAATAAGACCATCTGCTGCAGGAACCCGTGCCTCGCATCAGGGATGCTCGGGTGAGCTAATAGGAACGGACAAAAGACACAGCCTGCTTGCGGGACCCGATGGTCATTAACCCCTCTGTGGATGTTCTCCATGTAGGCTACTTCGTGAGACTGTTTGCAGGGCGCTTTAATAGGCGTGCAATGCCTATTAATATGCAACCTGTGTTGAGTCACACCTTAGCTGATTCGCCTTAGCTTTCCCAGCTGTCTGCTTGCTGACAGATTGGTGCAGTGTGGGCAGCTTGTCTGGCAAGTCTAGAGGCTGGAAGAGCAACCAGTAACTTGGATTTAACCCTTCTTGCTAAATGCATTGCTGTCTCTCACCTCCCTGAGGCTAGGACTAACAGAATTGGCAAGTGATCCCTTATCCTTGCTTTCTTATCTCTTATATACCTTATCTTTTGCCTTCTGCAGGCTCCATGCTGTCAGCTCTATGCTTCCCGATGGCCTTTGGCTCTTCACAAACAGCAGAGGCTAACTGCAGGTCCAGGACTTCCTCAAAATCTGTCCTGGCCTGGCTGTGGGTGGCAAGAGTTGCTGGCAAGCTCTGCCTGGATGGTCCCCCAGACCTGCAGGACTTGGGGCCAGGCCCTGGATGTGACACCAGGGGCTTTGCTGCCTCTTTGGTGTTCTTTCTGTATGGGGGAAATTAGTGGAGTTGTGTCCGCTGGAGCACTCGTCTACTCCACAGAGAAGTGGAGGAGCCATGGGGGAAGAAACAAACTCCTCATCTCATCCTTAGCTCTGTCTTTTTGTGCTTTCTACTTACAGCTATCATAACTACCAGATTTCTTTTTTTTTTTTTTTTTTTTTTTTTCTCGCAGCCCTTCTTTGCTCCCCTTATTGAGCAATAGCATCTTAACAGCACTCTCCTATGGCTTTGTCCCTAATGTGACAGCATCTAATCCTGCATCGTTTGTTCAGCTGAGTGGGTCACTGGTTTTACTGCTTGCGTGAAGGACAGGGTAAAGATCCAAATGCAGTTCAGGGGTTGGGCTGTCTTGGGCTCTTCTGAGAGGAGGACTTTATTTTTACCAGCTTTGGCATGCCTTGACTTTGGGGTGTGGAAAGCAAAAGTGAGCTGTGTGGCTGTGGAACAGGATGGCAGAAACAGTCATAAGCAGGACAGGACTTGATCCTGGCTTGCCTGGCTAACCCAGCTGGAGCCAGTAATGAGGGCAGGTTCAGCTGATTGTCTGTCTAAAGACAGAATGAGATGCTCAAGTTGTCCTCCTTCTGTTCAGGAGTGGGCCTAAACTAGAGAAAGGTCTTCAGGTTTTGCCAGAACCCTATACCATCTTAGCAGTAAGGATGGAAATGCATTTTTACTGCGATGCATCAGTGTAACTCCTCAGGAGATGCTTAAGTACAAGATGTGCTTTTGATTTAGCTTCTGTCTAAGTGAAAATGACCTAAGAGAACCTGTGAAAAACCTAATGTTACCAAGGAGTTCAGCCCCAAACGTGGAAGTAAATCAGTATAACCCTCTTGGTTTGCCTTTACCAGTCTGCCAGGCAGTCATCTATTTCTGTCTTGGCTTAGACTCTGCAGTCCAAACCCTGACACGTTCTGTGGGACAGCCTCCCTCTCAACCTCAGCCTTGTCTCCTGCAGTCAGGTGATTAGATGAGACTCTCTTTCATGTAAGTACTTTTTTATCTTTCTCATCTGTGGAGGGAAGCCAGCACATGTCATCTTTAAAGGCAAGGAAAATGGAACCAGCATTTTGTATTCCAGAAATCTCATTATTTTTCAACTAATATGCTGATTTTGGATGCCGGGGTTTGGCAGAGACACTGAGGGTCATTGCTGAACAAAGCAGAAGCGGGTCCATCCTGGAGAAGCCTGCATGGGTAAAATATGCAATTTCTATACCAGCGGAAAATGCGATTCTCCGGGTCATGTCAGAGCGAGGCACTGTGGGTAGCTTCCCTCTGACTCAGGCTTGACGCTAGATTTCACAAGAGGAAAAAGTGTGTTTAAGAAGTTACTTGATACTGATCTGTCCAGAGTGTTTTTCCCAGGCTGGATTTAGGGAGGGATTATCTCAGATTTTCATTTAGTTCTGAAATCCTGGGTATTGGTTTTATAAATTAAACCCCCTTCACAGCAGGTCGCTTGTTCTGTATTGTTGTTTTAGTTTGATGCATAGGGAGGAATTTAAATTTTCTGAAAGGACGGGGCTTGCTCCTTGCTGGGGTAAAGCAACATAGTTCAAATATTTAAAGGCAGATGCATCAATCCTGGCAGCTGAGGATCTGGCTTACTTTGATTAAAATCTGATCAAGATTACTCAGCCTTACCAAGGGACTTGGATTACCATTCTATAAAAAGAAGAGTAGGAGAGGAGAGGACATTAAATATAAAAATAATCCAATGAAGGACGTGAAGCTAAACTCACTGCAAATTGAACAATAATGAAAACATCCTACTGAAACAGGTGGAGGGCAGCAGTGCTGATGGGCAAACGCGAGGCTTGAAGTTAAAAATATTGCTCTTGGGTTTCTCATGGCCATGGCCTAGTCTTTTAAAGGTAGATTTATTTTTTTATTTTTTTATTTTTTCAGAAGAGAGCCTTGCTCATTAGAAAATCCCCAGGGGAGCATTGCAGGAGATATGGGTGACAAATCCTTTGGAAAAATCCTTGCCTCTGCTTCCTCAGGGGACCCAGGATGGTGCCAAATCTCACTCACAAAGAGGTGATTGAAGCTGGGGAACAAAAAAAAAATCAACTCTTACAGGTATGAAACTGTGAAATGAGCATTGTCTTCATGGTTTCTTATAGTGGTTGAACTTCTCTCCCCTTCCAGTGTTCTTTTTCCTGGTCCTTTGTTACTTTTTAAATGTGAAGTTTATTTAAAGACTTGTTATGCCGTGTGATTATGCTTGATGGGCAGTGACTGATGGGGAGGCTACACCAAGCCCTTTGCTGGCTGGGTGGTCAGCAGAGGTGACCTTTTTCATGAGTCTGTCAAACCGTTCAGCACATGTCTAGCTTTCCTAAGATTTCTTATCCGTATGTCCCCTAGCATCAATAAAATCTGGTCATGCTTCTGCTCCTGTCAAGCAGTGGTGTAGCTGTTAATAGGGCAGACACACTTGGGTCCTAAGCTAGAGGGCTTTCTGAAGCCCCCAAACCCATTTATCTCTTCTCTTGATGGAGTATGCTGGCTGGCTTGGATGGGAAGCACCTCCCTTGCTGATCTCCAAGAAAGACATGGAAGATCTTCAGCAGGGGTTGCAGGACTTGTGACTTGAGTATCCTTTTGGATCCAAGACAAGCAGAGGAGAACAAGGTGCACAGTGAGCTGGCTGTTCCGGGAGGCTGTCTGGGGTAACTGGAAGATGCTTTGATGTCAGAGAGCTCTGGGAGCCTGGAGAGCAAGGCTGAGCAGCCTTAAAAACACTGGTGACTTAAACTGATGCAGCTAAGTATGCCAGAGGAAAGGCGAGGGGGTTGTTCTGGGACCTCCTGGGCAATTATATACATGGATGGTCAGTGACATCGCCTGAGTGCACCGACAGCTATGCCAGTCTCCCAGTTTTCTTCAGTCGGAGTTAGGGTCAGACGAGGATAAGGTTGTGTTTTAATAAGTATTTGTTAGGGACGTGCTTTCCCTTCCCCCCGCCCCCATAAAACTGTTTATTTTCCTTGCAGTAACACGTGCGTCGTTCAGCTTCTGCTGTTCCATGTGTCGTGCTCTGTTACTCCGGCTCACTCACAGCCGCAGAGCAAGGGGAATGCTGCCAAGGCTTTTTCTGGGAGTTTGCTCTGGCCGTGCTACTTCCCTGGGAGTGCTCAGCTGATGTGTTTTGTTTGCAGGGGGAAAAAAAAAATGCTCAAATGTCAGTGTCTGAACTGACCGTCAAGAGACCAAGGCAAGGACCAGCTGCTCCTCTCTCTGTCTCTGCGAGCAGGTGCCTGCATACATATAGCCACAGTAAGTTTTGGGCAATGACTTTTTGAGCAAGAGAAGTTGCAAGAAGGTCGCATTTACTGCCTAGCTGTCTTTTCAAAGATGAGACTTTGCTTAAGGCAGCCCTAGGGTAAAGATGCTTCCTGCCCACCTGCCTCAAATCCTTTTACCAGGTGCAAAAATCAGGCCTCCAAGTGGCTGTGATACCTGTGGGAGGGCACTCCTCTCTCAGCCCCAGATACAGCTGTATCTTCACTTGGGCTGGGTGTGAAATGGTGTTTAAAACATTGTTAATTGAGACATACTGGTGAACACGTTTTTAAAACACCTGCTTTCTTGTTGGAGACATGATTTTACTTACCCAGACTAAAGTGCTGCAGGGAAGGTGGAGGCGCAGTGCTCTCTGCGGCTGCTGAGGCCGTTCATTTGCTAGCGTGGCTTTGGATTTCTGATGACTCAGAAGGGAACTCGGCTTCCTCTCAGCTATTTGCAGATCTGAAGATCTGTTGTACTGTGCCTGTGAACCAGGACTCAGAGCATAGTGCAGGGGTGGGACCGAAAGCACTCTGTCTCAAAATGTGTAAGAGCAAATAGCTGATGGTTCCCGAGTGTCAGGTTTGTGTGGGGTACTGACAGGCAAGTCCTGGCAAAACAATAAAGTGGGTGCCAAATATATGGGGTTCTTGCTGTTTGCCTTGGCTTCTTTCAGGCTGGGATGGGTGGGGAGGGATTATGGATTTCAAGCCTCTTGTTGAACCCTTTGAAGTAGATGAGGAATGAGATGAATGTTGTGCAAATCCGCTGACTCCAGGAGCAGGCGCTTTACTACTGTGGGAGCTGGCAATACTGAATATCTTATTCTTTCTGATTTATAATTTCTTCCTGATCTGGAGTACTTTACCAAATATCTTCATACACAAAGCCTGTTGAATACATGATGGGAAAGCTCCTTTTCTTCTGGGACACGTGCAAGGCTTCTCTACCAGATAACAGCAGCTGCAGAGCTCCTGACCACCATTACAGGCCAAAAGTACACAGGCACAGGACTGGTAAGCACTGGTCGCTAGTTTGTGTCGATCCATGGCCTGCACCTATGCCCGTAGCACCCTTTGCAGAGCCTGCGTACCCACTGGAGGTATTTAACCTCAGTAACCTCAGCTCTAGGTGCAGTAGGTCTCTTTGTGCCATGTTCTGAGCTCCTGGGCTATGCTCAATGCACTGTCCTATCTGGGCTTTCTCTTTCTGAGCTCTCAAAGAGTCGGACAGGACAGCTGCCCAAACCCACTTGTAACACCCTTACTTCTTATCTTGAGGTTGCTTTTCTGAGAAAACAGGGTTAATGAGTTCTGGCTCCCTCTTGCCCACCTTTAATAACTTTCCAGCCTGATGACTGATTCCAGCTCTGCGTGCCAGAGATCTTAAAGATAATGAGTTCCTACTGGCTTGATATAAATAGATGGCAGGGGAAGACTTTATCTTTGCCCCCCTCTGACAAGAGAGTTCATTCCTTATCAGTCCAAGAGCATCTGTGTGAGGTGGAACAAGAAAGAGATGTTATGAATGCCTATGGGGAAGACTGCTCTCCAAGCTGGTATCCTGCTACCTCTTGGAGAATCCACCCGTGCTGTGTAACTTCAGGGATGGAAACGCTGGCTCTGCCTCCCACTGAGCACTGTGTGAGCCTTTCTGCTGCTCGCTTTCACCACAGGCTCTCCTCAGAGGCTGGACACTGCAGTGTGCATGCTGTTCCTGGCCGGAGTTGGGGCAGAGAGCTTGGGGGCAGCAGCCTGGCATGGGAGCAAAGAGCTGCAGCCTGTTGCCCGTGGGAGGGGGCTCTTCTAGCTTATGGTCTGTTGGCTGGGGAGGCAGCTTTCCCCTGCAGCAGCAATTGCCTTCCCTGGGCTGTTCTTTCTAGCATGGTCCTCTGGCTCATCACCCATCTCTTTGCTTTCTGCAAGAAAGCTGTTTAATCAAAGATGTATTAAAATCTGTGCACTCTGGTGTCAACAGCCTAGCTTCAGGCGGAATTTTAACTATTTTCTGTCCACAGCATGTGATGGATTTCATTGCCAAGGGGTTGGAGGCAGGGAAGCAAAGGTATTTTAATTACATCTGATTGCAGCATTTTGCAGGCTTGCCCTGTCAGTTGTCTTGCCACAGCACTGTTTAGAGTCCACTTTGAGCAGCACAGGCATATTAGCTGGGCGTTTACTGATCACAGAGGAAAACAGTAATATTTCAATCCTGACATCACTTGAGGCTGTATCTTTTCTCTCTGCCTTTGTGGCATCAGTTTCCTCCTCATTAGAGGCCTTAGTCCTTCTGTATCGTGTCACTTAGAAGCAGTAAAACCGAATTCAGCCTATTGCAAGGGCATCATATCTAGGCAGAGCAGGGGTACTTTGCTTTTAGGAGAACCTGCCTTACTTCAACAGAAATGTCCCTGTGAGCCCCTTTCCCGCCCCCTTGGCTCCTGTATTGGTTTCACGGCTGGTCAGCCTCAGGGGGCTTCTCTTTTTCTCAGTCAAGCAGGAGTGCTCCTCCTCACGAGGAAAGGTTGAAACGCTGTCTCCAACAGGACTATTTGGGGGATGAAGGCGGCAATGAAAAGAAGAAGTTGCTCTCTGTGCTGAAACACCCAAATTGGACCCCCGGGGGCTGGATCAGTGCGTCGAGCAGGTCAAGTTGCGCGGAGGGACAGGCAGGAGCACTGCAGGTGCAATAAAGCACATCTTCAGAAGTGCCTGCTCACCAAAGGAGAGCAACTCCAGCTGTGTGTTTGTGAAATGAGAGTAACTACTGCATCTTTATGTGGCGTTCGGTGCATTGTCACTAGTGCTCAGGGCTAGCAGTATCTGCAATTCTGCCTGGATGTTTTCTGGAGCGTTCAGCAGGTAGCAGCTCCCAGTGCCCATACTCTGACCTGCCTTTTCGGAGTGTTTAGCATGCTGAAGGCAGAAGCTGTTCGAATCTAACCCAGGGTTTGGAGAAAGGAAAGTCTGAAGAGGAGGAGGGCAGAGTTAAGGTCAATTTTGTGTGACTGTTAGTATGCATTTCCATTCTTGCCAAAGCTCTTGCTTCTGATTTAAGAGGAACCCTAATCCTCAATATCCACAATTTTTCAGTGTTGGAACGTGTTTGTGTTAACAACTCTCATCCGCGTTTCCTCTTCTAATGGATATAACCCCAGCTTGCAGATTACAGAAGTGTTTTGTTTGTGATTCCTAGATGCTTGATGCATTGTTTTCCTACAACACAGGGCAAACTCTATTCCTTCCTTCTGGCCTGGGCTGTAATGATGGATTAAGTAGGTAAGTAATAGAGTGGTAATGAGATAACCACTGACATCGAGCATTAACGCGGGAATAAATGAAGTTACCATCCAGAACTAATGGCCTGAACTATCACTGGGTTGTAATTAATGAATGTGGTGTCTGAGATTTACAAGGGTATTTTAGGATGCAGCTTGCATGCAGCTTTGGTTTTTATGGCTTGGTTGGAGAGAAATCAATTAACGCCATGAACTTAATGAATGGGCTGAAGATGTTCTCTGTCAGATTGTAGTGCCCCTTTTGTGGAAGAGGCAAGACTGGTGCATGTGGAGTGCCCTCCTTTTCCTTACTCCAGGGCAGTGGAAGAAGATGGGATACTGTGGTCTCTGACTCCCTGGACTCTGTAGTGCATGGTGGAGTTGTTGCAATCTCAGAGGTCTTGTTTCTTCCTCTGTTTTATTAGTGCAGAGCAGCAGGAGTCTTCGTGGAAGCAGAGCATCTGAGGTGAACCCATACAGCAGGCTGACAAGACGTTAGCAGTAAGGATGGCCTGGGAGGGGGATTCTCCAGACAGGACCTCTGACTAGAGCAATGCCAAATCGCCCAATTTTAACCCACAAGGGTAGAACATCTAATTCCTTCTTCCAGCCTTTTCCTTGCCACTCTTGGTTCTGCCTTGTGCATGTTAGAGGGACACAGAAGGCAGAGCCTGGGTGTCCCGAGTGGCCTGCCGTGTGCCCCAATGACTGGCAGCACCTGCTGTGTGAGCATCCTGGCGTCCCAAACACACACCTGTAGTGCGCCCATGCTCAGGAGGCCTCAAAAGGGAGAGCTATCCCTCCCTGCCCGCCTAGCTTGCTATGTGTGCGACCCTGCCAAACGCTTTGGAGATGTGTGAGTAACACTTCTGAGGTGGTTGCTAGGCTCTTACAGAAAACACAGAAGAGCAGTCAAAATTCTTCACGTTAATTGGTAGGAATAACCCAGCCATCTCTGCTAACTGTTGCTTCCCTCTTCTTTCCATGGCAACCCTCTCTACAGCAGCCCAGGTGCTCGTAGTTGGATGTACTGGGATTTCTGAGCCCTCTGTCTTCCCAATCACCCCTTGGAGCACAGAGGGAACATCTGTACTTTTAAAGTGTGGGCACCGTGTCATGCATCAAATGGCTTTCTTTTGTGTGACCATATTCCTTTTCCTATGCTCTGGGACAGAAGGCTTTGGAAACATGCACGAATTGAATCCTTGCATTTCTTTGGTGGAAAGAGCTGCTCCCTGTTTTGTAACAGGGAGAGAAAGGTGCTGACAAAGTACCGTGTGTTTCTTGTGCTTTCCATGGCCTGGGCTGTCAGAGCCTTCTGAGAGCTGGGGGAAGGAAAGGGGCTGGTGAGCAAAGGGAAGGAAGATATCTCTCTCCTGCAGAGCCCATGTGAGACACTGCTACACTGCTGGGAAGTTTCCTTCAGGAAGGTGCCTCTCTAAAGCATCTCTGTGCGTATTTGAGCACCGTTTTCTCTTTTGGGCCCCGTTTTACAGGCACTTTTAATGATTCCAGGGGGAAAATGAGAGACAGATGGCCAGTGACAAACCCAGTTCAAAGCTGCCCAAACCTGGGGAAGGGTGCTGCTCCGGGGAAGGGTGCTGTTTGAGCTGCAAGCATTGCTTTGTCTTGGTGCAGGCTCAGCGGCTCCCTTCCAGGCTGAACAGGAGGAAGAACATTCCACCTGCTGGATCAGTGCAAGCCAAACCCCAGACTGAACAAAGACTGGATGAATGGTTCATGGATTTACATATTCAGGGCTACGCAGCTCCCCTTCCCCCAGCCTTGGGAAGTTTATTGCCCTCAACAAAGTACACAGTGTGGCTGTCATTGCGGAGGAGCCCAGGCAGGTCGTTATGTGACGAGGGAAAATTACCCAGACTGTTCTCCAGAAGGCAAGTGAGCAAAAATTTTCCTCCGACTGGTTCAGGACAAAGTTAATGTAGGAAAGCCATTAAAATTAATGCTGGTAAACAAGGATAAAAACCAGCAGGGTTGTAACAAAATTTGGACCAGATTGGGTTTCCCAGCTGTCGTGCTGCTCGCTGTCTTAAAGGCAGCAGGCAGAGGGAGAGGGCGAGGCACACTCAGAAAGCTCTTGTTGATGGGGGCTGTGAGGTTGGGGACACCTGGGTTCTGGTGGCACTGGCTCCTTGGTCCAGCACTTTGGACCCCCTGTCTATTTTTGGGAAGCAATGACTATTTTTTTTGTCTGATGGTCCTTTCATCTCATATTTTATTCATGCAGTGGTTATCTGCTTTCTTCCAGAGTCTGCCCTCAAAATCCAGGCCCTGCTCCAGGATGCTGGGAACCTGCCTGCCTGTGCTTGATGGCAGTAGCTGCTTAGTGCAAGCACGCAAGAGACCATGGCTCAGGCTCTTGGGGCAGTGGCTCACTCCAAGCAGCCGATGCTCACAGTTCAGTTAGAAAAGGTGCAAAGGAGCATAGCCACCCTCCCCATCTCTGTTTTGTTGGCTTCTGAGAATAAGAGAGTGCTCAGGCTGGCAGAACAAGTGGTACTGGGTACATGGGTCCCATAGGGAGGAAAGCTCAGGTTTGTTTCCTTGTCCAGGTGGTAGGTATGAGCTAAATAGGGCCCAGAGCATCCCAGGGAGAATATCCCAGCACAGGGTCTGTGTGTTGCTTCTTCCTTTTAAATAGCATGCTGCAGGGCTGGAGAAAGCTGACACAAGCCAGTCACCTTCACCAAAACTCCTGGCACCAGATATTCAGCTGGCTTGATGCTTTTGAACAGGTTGACTCCAATATAACCAACCCAAATTTTCTAGCCCCAGAAACACAGTAATGGCAAGCTGTGCTTGCCCAGACTTAAACAATTTTGATGATCTGGTCCTGGATGGCTGTACGGTTGGGTTCTGGTGGAGCCTCCATGTAGCAGCTCATGGAGTGAAGCGAGGCTTCTGAGATGAAGTGCTGTGCTAGGTGTCTCCAACCAGTGTGGGGAACTAGAACGGGATGCCTGAAGTCATCAACATCAAGGAGATGAGTGAAAGTCTGGGCAGGTCAAGGCTGATGTTGAAATGAAGAGCAGCGTTGAGGGAGGCCCAGTGCACAAATCTTCCTCTGGAGCCCTCATCCCTGGGGAAATCCTCAGGCTGCGTGTGTGGGGAGACCTCAGCTCCCTTTCAGAGGTGCTACAGACAGAATGGACAGAGCTGGACAGCTTTCTTCCTGTTTGTCATGAGAAATCATCAAACAATCAGGGTGACAAAAATATTTTTGTGGAAGTGACTATGCGAAATATTTTTTCATTTTGATTATTTGAAAACCAAAACTGTTCGTGGATTTTAAAATTCATGTCCCCTCCGGGTTGCTTTGCTTTGTTTCGTTTCTTATTCCTTCTCCCTTATTCCTTAGAGGGAGCCATCCAAACCTACACAGTGCATTCATTTTTTGAGGAAATGCAATGTGATCATTTTCCAGTCTAACCTAGGCTGAAAATGCTTCTGGTGTTTTGTTTGTCTGAGAAATTTAAAAAGGCTCGGATGGAGCAGAATCCCGGCTGGTTCGGGGGGAGCTTTCTTGTTTCTGAAGAACCACTTGGGGGGTGGTGCGAAGGAGTGGTTTCAAAAGCTTTTTATCAGAAAAAGGAATTGTTGGTAGACTTTGTCAGGAAGATTTGGGCTCCAGCCATTCTTCTGTTAGAGCTGCTTGCGTGGTGCTGAGCTCTGGATGTCTGCTGCATGGTGGAGCTGGGCCACCTCTCACCAGGCCCTCCCCCTGCAGCCCTTGCTGTGCAGGCTGGTTGGGGGTGATGCCATCTTTGCCTTGGCTGTGCTTTGCACCAAAAGCCCTCCACAGGAGTGAGGACACGTGGGTGCAGAGCTGTGTCTTTGCCACAGCAGGGACCTGCTGCTATTGCAGCAAGGGGCCCAGGTCCCACCACACTGTTGCAGTCTGCTCAAGCTCCTGACCACCACCAAGCACCCCTTTCTGAGGCTTCCCAATGCCCAGAGAGGTAGAAACCATCACAAAGTCCCTTAGAGAATCTCTTTGGCCTCCGATTTCCCCACCTGTAGAACAAGCACGGTTAAGGGGTGTGCTCTCGGAGGCACGGCGCACAGCTGTACATGTCCACGAGGAGCTGCGGAAGGCAAGCAGGTGAGGGCTGAAGTCAGAAGAGCTGGTCTGTCACATCCCTGGGGCTCTCCTGGATTTTGGGGGCTGTTCTTGTCACCCCAGTGGTAGCTCAATCAAGGTGAAGCACAGAGGCAGGACTGTGCTGGAGAGAGAGACACGGGTGTGCAGATGCATCCCATGGGACAGGAGCGGTGACAAGTGTCCGCGTGTCTGGAAACCCAGCAAGAAAGGGGCTGGATGGAGGACACCACCTACTCCTGCTGCTGCTGGCTCTGCGAGCTGCCAGCTCTGCTGTTCGGCGCTGGCCAAACGTAGCTGCTCATCCCCAGTCCCTGCCGTCTCCGTGCCCCACATGCTGCTCCTCCTATAAATAGCCCGCTGGGAAGCGGAGCACGGAGCCACCGCAGATGGCCCCCAGTTCCACGTGCAGTCATGTGTGAGATCCCAGAAAGGGGCTGTCAATTCCTCGCCTCGAGCCACCCATGAAACCTCATTAAAAATGGTGTCCGCTCCCTTCACTCCCACTGCCCCCCTCCCTTCCCACTTCAGCGTGCCGGCGTTGAAGCACCCTTATTAAACGTGCACTTCCAAGCAAGGAGCGCTGACTTCCCCTTAATTGAGGCATAATAATTAGAGCATTAACACATTAGGAGGGTGAGACAGCATGTTTAGCTTTTGTGATTAATTATCTGAGGATTGTAATAAGTTGTTAAGACATTAATTACTCTGGCATGTTTATTGCTCTTTATTGCAGAACAGACACTTCAGAGCAGCAAGTGCTGGTGTGTCTGGGAAGGCGGCGAGGAGGGGGCTGGCCGCAGGAGACCACCTACCCACCCTCAAACAAAATGAGCTGCTGCTGGGGGATGTGGCCTGGGTGGACCTTGGTGGCCAGAAATAGCTCCTGCATCTCCAGGAGGCCGCAGATGGATAGAAAGGGTACGTGAGGCTCTTAGGGCGATGTGGGAAGTATTTACCAATGTTTTCCTCTGGGTTTTTCTCCTCTTTTGCATGAAGTGTTTTCTTCTTGGTGGTTGGAGCTCCCCCACATTTGGATCTTCTGGTTTTCCAAGTCCCATCTGCGTGGCTTGTTCTCTGCCTGGAGGTGAGGAGGAAGGCTGTCTGTGTTTCAGACAGGCTGGAATTCAGGAGTTCAGAGTCAGCAGTGGTCAAGAAATGAGCCAGGGCCCCAGCAGCCTCATTCTCTCCTCTAATGGTTGAATTTTCTGCTGGGAAACAGGGAGGTAGATTAGGGAAGGCTGTTGCAGTGGTGGCAGAGCAGATTGGGCTGCTGTAGCCTGCTCGTTAGACAGCAAGCTGTTCTCCAGCCCCGGGTCAGCTCCGAGCTGCTCGATCGGACTGGGTCTGATGGCAAAGGTCACAGAGGATGGGTGGGTGTTACGTGCTGCTGAAACTCTGACTGAGAGAAAGGGCAGCCAGATCAGCAACAGCACAGCAAACAGAATGACGTGATGGGCCCGTTCCCAGCCTTCTGCTTTCCCCACGAAATTCATGGTGTCAGACGCTCCCTGCCCAGTTCTTTGGGCTGGGAATAACACAGGAGACCTGATGGGAGATCAGGAACAGCCCCAGCCACTGGCTTAGGAAAAGAAGTTTGGGAGGAAAAGATGAAAGACTGAGAATAGGGTGGGAAAGCTGTGGGTTTTCTGTGTTTGGTATAGGTTTCCTTGGGGATCCCCTACCTGACATTTCTTGTTTGCAGGCTGTGTCCTTGTGTCATTGCAATGTGTGCTTGTGTCCTGGGGCAGCAGCCAAGGGACTGGGAGGGGTCTTCCTCTGTTGCTTCTTTTTAGAGTTAAAACATGGTGATCCTGCCCAGCCTGCCTTCCCCAGGGACTGACTGGGGGCCTGCTTCACCGTGGCCTCCCCCGACTTGAGCTGGTATCACTGTCACTCAGCTGTCTTGGTGGCTGGGGAGCTGAGGCTACAGCCCAGGCTGAATCCCTTCCCTGGGATCCATCTCGTGCCAGCCGAGCGTTAGCTGCTGCCTTCAGCTCCTTGGAGCCTGCGCCTGCCTCTCGCTAGCCTGGCCTGAATTTGGCATTCACTGTCAGGTGTCTGATTTCTGCCTGCAGAATGTGCAAAGTGTCAGCCTGGCATTTCCTCTTCGGCTCCTAGGGACAAAGCGGGTCACGACTTAACGTGTTTTATCATTAAAAAGATAATTTCCTCTGGATGTGTGCAATAAGACAATGGTGCTGACCTGTGATCCTGGCATTGCACAGCATTAATGATTTCCCTTTGCAGGTAATCAGCAGCAAATGTACACATTTTGGGGGAGATCTGATTTTTTTTTTTTTTCCTTTTAAGACTGCTGTCTTCCTAGGCCAGACTTAATTAGCAGACCTCATTATTTCCTCAAATGTAACTTGACTTCCATTGAATGAGAATTGTTCAGTGGATGGGGAGCAGCAGAGCGGTGCTGCAATATTCATATTGTTTTAATTGCAACATTAACATTTCATGCAGCTCTTGGCATATTTTCAGGTGCGGCCCTTTAGCTCAATGCAATACTGTGAAAGGTTGGATCAGAACAATTAGGATACAGTGACTGGATTTCTGGATTTTATTTTTTTTCTTTTGTAAGAAACACAAGCCTAGATTCAATTGCTGTCACTCCTTTTGTTTGGCAGAACAGGGAGTCAAGCACCCCTGAAGTAAATGGAATAAAGGATGCGCTGTGGCACGTGCTTACCTTCTCTCTTTGCTGAGCTGAAGCCCTGCAGGTATGTAGGATATGTTATCCACCGGGCTGACAGCACCTCCTGGGACTTGACCTCACCAGGTAAATCAGAGAATTCCCCAAAATGGGTCTGGCCAGCTGGGCTGTGCTCACATGGTGAAGGGAAGATGGCTGTTTTCCATTACCAGGGCTTTTGGCTGCCTTGAGGCTGGAAATGGTAATGACTGGGTCTGTGCAGGTCCTAAACGAGCCCATGGACTGCCCGCTCTGCCCCTATACAGCTTGTGGGGCCACTTCTCCTGCACGGGGGTCAGCGGATGGGGCTGCGCTCAGCCTTGCCAGCTCCGTGACCTTTGCCTGGCCGCGTGCCGTGCTGGCCGCTAATTGTTCCCACCCTGGGGAGCAGCGGTCAGCAATGGGAATTCCTGTCAAGAACGACTCCGGCTTCCACCCTGAAACAGCCTAATTAGGGTCCCCTAATTGGGGCACTGAAGGGAGCACTGTGCTCGCGCTGAGGCTGGGCAGGGTCTGGTGTGGAGCAGGAGCTGGTGGGCAGGGGGACAGGCTGGAGTGCTGCGATTCAGCAGCCCGCTAATGATGTGCAAGTGGTACTGCTGCGAGCTCCCCAGGCTCCTCCTCTGCCTCGGGCTGCGTTCCTGGCACTTGCTGGCAGCAGCCTGCGATGAAACATCTTGCTGGAGGCTGAAGGCTCTGTCCATGTGGCTGTGGGGGGATCAGGAAGGGGGGAGAACTGCTCAGTGCATCAGTGCTCCTCCTCGGAGCTGGGGATGTCTCTTCTCTTTCAGGGAGTGTCTGGACATGTCTGTATGGACTCCTGATGTGTGCAACACGGGGGGGGGTCAGGCCAGTGGTGTTAATGCAGTGGGGCCTCAGCTTGGTCACTGGAAGAAAGGTGAGAAAAAAGCACACGGCCCACTTACAGAGGCTTGTCAAAGGCTAACGTGCCTTCCTGGCTGGCTCTCATGTCAGACAAACAGGTCTAAATCCTTCTCCCACTTGTACTGAGTGCGGTGGGATCCATGAGCTCGTATCTCCTATGGCTCCATGGCTTGGGTTTAAGATTCTCTGGTGTCTAGTAAGCTGCTTGTGCTGAATGGAGCATCTGCCCTTCCTGGGATATTTATAACGGCTTGCTCTCCCACGCAGAATGTCTGGTGTCTAATAATGGATGATACACTACGGTTTTGAAGGTACTAATAATTTCCATCCTCTGTTTGACAGTCTGTTCCCCTGAAATTTATAGACTCTGCCTGTCTCCGAGACCTCTGTCTCTCTGTCAGGACAGGTTGAAATCTGTTCTCGGTGCCAGGAGTTCCTGGGGAGTGGGCAGGGGGCAGGCTGATGTGGCAGGACTGCGTATGCTCCGCATCCCATAGGAACTCAGGCTAAAAATGTGCCTGGCTCTGCTTCCTGCCACCCTGGGGGGTGGTAGTGGCTCTGGTTTCCCAATTGTGAGTTTTAGGAAGGCAAGTGGGCTGTGTGGGAGCAAGGCAAACCTCCAGGAGACACGGGCTGCCGTGCTGCGGGCTGTTCATGAGCCGCACTTGGTGTTCCCACTGCCGGAGGGGCCCGTGAGCAGCAGAGCACGGGCTCTGCGGGAACAGCCCCTGAGGACGACAAACGAGTGAGCGCGGAGCTGCTGGCCGGCGTGAAGAATTGCCTGGCTGAAAGATAATGAATGCCGCGGCAGGAGACAGAGCATTTCTCTGGGGCCATTCATCCCCTTTATCACCCCACTAACAAGCCCCAGAGCGGCTGGCACGGAGCAGCACCATCCCTCACCGTGCTGGCGGCTGGGTGCCGGCGGTCAGGAGCACCGCACGTGGCTCTGCAGGGAGCCGCGGACCTCACCCCAAATAGCAGCCCCTGGCACGGCTGTCAGCAGGAGCAGCCACACGCTGTGCTGGCAGGGAGGGTGGTCCCTCCTTTGGGACCCCTGTGGTGCCACCAGAGAGATGCAGGTGTCAAAGCCCAGCACCCAGCTCTTTAAAGCACTTCTGGGCAGCGAGGACGCTGCAATACCCTTTGGAGGATTGCTCTGTCCCAGCTCCCAGCTTGTCTGAGACTTACAGGGTTATTTATACAGCCCGACAGGAGTTTGGGGCTGCTGGCTAGGAGGTAAGTCAGTTCTGCTTCACTTGCAGCTTGTGCACGAGCCTCGTGAGAGGAGGAGAGGGCAGGAGTGATGCGCTCTTCCTAAGAGCTAATAAAAGCTAATTCCTCCCTTTGCTCCGAGACGGTGGGAAGCATTAGTGGCTGGCTGAGTGCCTCCCGCGCTGCGGCAGCGTGCTGGGTGCCTCCTTCCTCCCGGCTGGGAGCAAAGCCTGTCCCCCCGCCGAGGGGAAGGCAGCTCAGCAAGAGCCGCGTGGTCTGCGGCTGCGTGAGCGGGCACCCGTGGCGCTGCCTGTAGCTGGCAGCCCTCCTGCCAAGGTAAACTAGCCAAATAACCCAGACAGGTGGCCAAGGGAGTGCAGGCGGTGGCCCCGTGGGCAATTTCCCAGTTGTGAGTGAGCTCCTCTACCTCTGCTGCAGGGTTTGGGGTGGGAAAAGCACTGTTCCTGACCCCGCTGGTGTATGAGAGGGCACGTGGGCATGCAGCAGGGCTGGTTACCAGCAATTGGAAGGTCTCTTTTTTTCTTTTCCCTCCTGCCTCCATATCCTTAGTTTCTCCTTTCCTTCCCAGTGTAAGGTGCATTTTTTTATTATTATTTTTTTTTGTTCCTTGATAAACATCCAGTGCCTCAGCAGGCAGGGCTGGGGGAAGATGAGGAAGAGGAGAAAGGAAAGCAAACACAAGGCCGTGAGGCACTGTGCTTGGGTGTCCTCAGCAGTGCTGGTGGCCTGGGGGGGGCACAAAGGAGGAGAAGAGCTGCGAAGCCTTGCAGGTGGAGGGTGCAGGGAGCACCGTGATGGGCGATTCGGTTGTTCCAGCAAGGGCAGAAACAGCAGGGCAGCAGCAAAGAGGAGGCTGAGGAGCTGTGTGGTCCTTAGTCCCAGCTCTGACTTGTTAAGGGTGCTGGATAGGGCAGGTTGTCTTTCGTGGCCCTTCAGGGAGGGCTGCGTTTACAGGGGGGCTCCCTCATGGCAGGGGGGGACGTTCCTGCTTGAGCTCTTCCAGCTCCCCATATGGGAAGAGTTGGCTTACAGGCTGCAAACATCTGGCTCTTAAAACATCTGGCTCTTTCTTTTTTTTGCCAGCACCGTTAAACGTCGAGCTGAAGGGAAGTGCAATCCATCACCTTCCTCGTGGGCTGCCACTCAGCCGAGAGGAACAGAGATCAGCCTTCAATCACACGGGGGCTGGGGCTGAAGGAAACCTTCTGGAGAACACAGTGGAGAAATATTTTCATTAGCAGAGGAGGACCTGACAGAGATGAAGTGTCCCTTCACCTCGCCTGCCGGACCTCTGCCCTGCCCGGCGCTAACAGGACGAGCAAACACGGTCCCAGCAGCTTGTGCCAGCTGCCAAATTTTAAGGGCTGGCTGCATCCAGATGTGTGAAACAGCCCCCACACGAAGAACAACAGGGCTTTTATAGCCTGGGGGATGGCTTTGCTTTTCTCCTGCTTGTCTACAAGTGAACGGGCGCCCTCGCACAGGCCAGAAAAAGTTGTCCTTGGGCAATAAGGTCCGGGAGCACAGGAGGTATTGTGGGCTCTGCCTCCTGCAGCGTGTTTGCAAATGTAACAGGACTGCCCTTGGGGTGGGGGGTTTTCTCTGCTTCTCTCCAAGGAAAGCCATTTCGCAGGCTGCTGTTGCAGTCATCTTCTCTTAGTCTGTGTCCCCCTGTGGCAGAGGAGACTCACTTCTGCTCTTTGTGTCGGTTGTGCCAGGGAAATGCATGCAGCTGGGAGCCTGGCACAGGAAGGTCTGGTCCTCCACTCACAGTATAAGGATGCCTCGCCAGGTCCTGTCTTGCAGGTTGAAGGGAAATTGTTTTAATTTGTGTGACACGTTCCTTTGTGGGCAGAAAGAAGAAGGGGGGAAGAAAAAGCAGACAAGCAAACCAACAAATGCTGGCCAGTGGAGATATTTTTAGTTCTTTGCAAAGGACCATTAACATTTCTCTTTAACTCCCTGAAGACCGTTCTTGCTCTGCAGGTGCCCGCGATGCTGTGCTCACACCGGCACAGCCCTGCCATGGAGGTAATGCAGTGCCCCAGAGACTGCAGCTTGCAGGGAGCCTCACCTCCACTGCCTCTTCTTGGGGTGCCCACCACAGCACAGCTCTCGAGGGGCTTGGACATTCACTTCTGTGACGGTTTTTTTTTTTTTTAGTTGCAATCTGGTTTGAGCTTCCTCAGCCCAGCAGCCAAGGCGTTGACGTGGGACACAAAATCAGTCAGCTTCAGGCTGTGGTTGTGCTGCTAACTGGCTGTGCAAATTTCCAAGTGCCTCGTGCCTCAGTTTCCTCTTCTGTGAAATAGAGGTGGAGGAGAGAAGCTCCTGAATGCCTCCCCTGAGCTGAACCAAGCTCTCCCTTCCCTACCCAAAGGAGTGCTCAGGGGCCAGCTGCACACCCAGGTGTCTGTGCTGCATTTTTTGCAGGGAGAGCGTTCCTGTATTGAGGCACCTCTTGCTCTCTCCTTCTCCCTTTCTGAACTGAGAGCAGACCCAAGGAAGGATAAATCTGGAGGCAATGAGGTCGGGGGGAGGCAAGTCAGCTGCTCTGACACTTTTATTATGGAGCGAGGCTGCTTGGGAGTGAATCTTGCTCGAAGCATATGTGGTAGGATGACATTTCCACCAGGGCCCAGCAGTAACCTTCCCCAGCCCTATGCTTGTCTGTTCCCGGGGCGAGGGGACTGAATGTCAGCTGGAAATGCCACAGGCAGCAGCAGGGCTGCTGGGGTGAGTCCCTGCCATGTGCTGGCCTTGGCCACCATTTCCCTTCCCTCCTGGGTCTGCTGGGCTCTGACTTGTGGCAGAGCTGTTGGGGCATCCCAGATGGGTCTGACTGTGCAGCCAGAAACCTTTGGTGACTTCAGCTTATGAACACGGGTGGTGTTTTGAAAGGGAGATGTTGGCTTCTGTGTGCCTCCCATTTTAGAAACGGAGAGGATGCAGCGGAGATCACAATGAAATCCTCCTCGGGGTTGCCCAGAAGGATCGAGAGCTTCAAGGCAAGCTTACCCCCGAGAAGGAAGATCTGATTGCTCAACAAAGTGGCGAGATGTTGCTGGCCGTGCTGTGCAGGGGCTGGAGGCCAGGAGAGGCTTTGATACTTTGCAGTATCACTGTCAGCTTCGATTGCACGTGGAGGAGGCGATGCTGTGGCTGGCGGTGGCTATCTGAATGTCACCGGAGGAGGTGACATTTTTCCTCCACGAGGCTGCTACTTCCTTGCCTTTCCTTTTGGCTCACATCAAGAGCTGCTTGCTCCCAGCGCCGAGTGGGACGTATGTGTGTGATGCCCCGGGGATGGTGCATGCAGCGCTGAGCACTGCTTCTCACTGTGCCAGGAGGCAGCTCTGTGGGGCTGGTAACTCGCCAGCACTGGGGGCTGCCGGGTGGGTGACTGGGGGCAGACACTTGTCCCTGTCTGAGACAAACCAGGGCTGTTGGGAGCTGCCGTTTGCCACCCTGGGGAGCAGTGCGCAGACGGAGCCCTTGCCGTGCTGGCAGCCTCCGACCAGCAGGAGGTCTGCCAGGGCCATCCCCTCAGAGCCACAAGAACTCAGACCTGAGAGAAGTCGGGGTCTGAGTGACAGACAAATGTGTTTTAATGGCTAATGTTCCCCCCAGGCCTGCTCTTGCCTCCTCTAAACAGGAGCTAATCTGGTAGAAAAGTGCCCGTGCCCACACCGCTCCAGCAGCCCCTTTGCCAGCCTGCTGTCCTCAAGGGTGATTTCAGCAAAGCCCGAGTGCTGCTCCGGGTCCAGCTTTCATCTTCCAGCTGGTTACGGAGGAAAGAATGGAGGTGGTTGCTGCTGCCAGGCTGTGCTAGAGAACAGGCAGGGGACAGGCCTTTTTGTGCACTTCAAGATCCAAGAGCTTAATCTGATTCTGCTTCTCTATTAGCCCTGATCCTGTCTTGCATCTTTTCCAGCTGATGCCTGAGCCTATCTTTGTTTTGTTTTCCTTTCTCCCCTTTTCCCTCACCTGATGAAAAATGGCTTTGCCATCTGCATCTGTCAGGAGTCCGCAGAGCGGGGCGTACGGCTCAGTGAATATACAAATGTGCGGTTGGATTGTGGCCCCTTCCAGCAGACCAGAGCTGAATACCAACGTGCAGGAGGGTGAGTGCCTTCCCTTCTTCTGCTGCTGGTGCCTCTGATGGTTGTTTTATTTTATTTTTTATCCTGAGGAGGTGTGAGCGTTGCCTTTGGGAGCAATGCTTCCTTCTGCTCTTGTTCCACCTCGCCAAGGTTCAGCTCTCTGCCATCCATCATCGGATGAGTCCTCTCCTCGCTCCTGCATCTGAGCTGCTGGTGGGAATGCTGGGGAGACTGTTTCACCCTGCTTTTCCTACCTACCTTTCCCTTCTTGTTTTGCATCTCACCTCCCAGGCTCGTTAAAGGGCAGGAGGCAGACTGGGGCTTGAGGACACTTGCCTTTGCTTGCTGATGCCAAGTGGTTTTGGATAGAAGTGAGGATGACACGGAGGGAGGAGACTGTCCAACCCTACACACATGGCTAAAGATGTGATTTCAGAATGGAAGCTTTCAGCACAGGACTCCTTGGGCGCTTTCAACACATCTTACATGTGCTCCCACATGTCTTGTCCTCAGTGTGTCCCCCATCCCCGTGAGGAGGCTGTGCAGGGAGAGATGCACCCAGCTCGGAGATGCTCAGGTGCTGTAACTCTGCAGGTCACCCAGGTGTCCCCAGGGAGGTGACACCCTGCCTTGGCACTGCTGGGTGTGCTCGCCTCCATCCTAACTCTTGGTTTCTTGCAGCCTGGTGTGAGCTGCTTCCAAAATCTGGCTGTACTGAAATGCATTGAGCCAGGTGGGCTCGGAGGAGCAGGCAGAAAACAAAATGAGTGCCTCCACATTCCTGCCACAGCTATCTGGTCAAGGGGGGGAATTTTCTGGGAGGGCGGCCCCCCGCTTTGGCAGGAGGAGAGAGCTGGCAGCTTGAGCTGAGCTGGTTTTTTGACAAGCAGATGGATGTTCAGCAGGGGCCCAAGAAAACCTTCTAGCTCCAGGCTAGCTGCAAGCCCTCCAAACCATAGCATTGTGCTGACACAAAGAAAGCATCGCTCCGTTGGTTCTGGGTCTGAATTACCTCTTCTGGGTGCCTGGCTCGGGGGCAGCACCTGTCCCCTCCTGCCACCAGCTCCTGGGAGGTGCCAGCTGCCTGCTTGTGGCTGGGCAGGGACCACCACACTGCAAACCACCACGTGAGGAGGGAGGAAGGCGAGCGATGGCAGGCTCCTCCAGCATCTCCACGCCGTGGGGCTCTTGGCGAGCAGGCGCCAGCCTGCTTTGAAAGCTCGTCGTGCTCCTGCAGGTGGGAGCCAATTTGTCTGCTTTCCTGCCCAGGTGCCATCTGCTGTAGGATCGCCTGCGTTACGGATGAACACGACGGGGATGGGGAAGGGGAGGTGGGAGAGACGGGCCTCAAACTTCCCTGGGTAACTTCAGCGCTCCTTGCAGCTCCCTCTGCCCAGCATCGCGGTGGGGAAATCACAGCCTGTCATTTGTCGTTCCTGGAGCGTGATAGGGAGCCGAGGCGCTGCTAATAGCAAGCTATCATT